CCGGTACCGGAGAAAAACCAAAAAAAAAAAAAAATATTTAGTGAATAGAAAAAACACATGTGAAATCCAAAAAGATGAAAATATGTAAACACCCAAAATGTAGAAAGTTGTTTGAACATATATAGAGCTTATTGTCATACATGGGATACTCCGATGGCATGATAACGTCAATTATTCCCTAAATTATTTCCCCTAAGCATTCTTTACATTATGAATTCTTTACATTATGAATAAATCAAGTATAAAATTGATTTTAAAATTCCTTCAAATTAAAGTGAGGCAAATCTATATTACTCTTAAAATGCAGTAAAGGATGGAATCTTAAAACATATCATTTAGCCATATTCATTGTAATTTTCCTAACTTGACAAGTCTTACTTTCATTGAGGCGTAATGATCAAGTAAAATTACATACACTGAAAGTGAACAATAGTATGTTTGAATATATGTTCATATTGGGAAATACTGACAATCTCTCCATATCTATTACCTAATGTAGTCACTTTAGGAGTATGTGGTGAAAACAAAAAAACTACTCTCCTAGCAAGTTCAACTCTGTGTTGTATTCTACACCATTCACCACAGTCACCAGAAGAGCCCCAGAATCTGCTGGCCCAGTAGGAGAGAAATATTATTCCTTTCCATTAAATCTCTCACTTCTAAATCCCCACACATGACAACCATCATTAAATCCTCAGCTTCTGTTTAGTTGAGTATTTTAGACACTAAGTACAAATGTGATTATGCTGAAAATTTTCTGGGTAGAGCATTTTACATAATGATCTCCATGTTAATACACATTGTTATTTATGTCAGGATGTCCTTTTTTGACTAAATAATATTCTATTCTATAATGAACCATGCTGTTCTTCTGCATTCAAACATTTATAGAATACAAGATATACTAAATGCTATGTTATTTGCCACATAGGTTTGTTGCAAGGTGATTGGTAGTTTTGAGGTTAATAGTAACATGTAAAGTGAGACCACTTCAGAAGATTAATTTATTGATGTTTTGCGGGAAGAATGTTACTGGGATTATGCTTTAGAATGATACATTCCATTCCTGTATACGTCTTTGTGCTTCTCTGAAAGGGCTTTTTCAGAGGTGACTGAATCTAGAATGTGTGATTGATTCATGGTGCAATGTTAAGATTAAGGGTGCTAGGATTAAGTGTGGGTGATTACTAAATCAGTCTACTGACTGGTTTGGAACTACCCTAATCCTTATAGCCTGGATACAATATAAGGGACAAAAAGAGGCTTGTCTTGTCCCTCACTTGTTTGCTTTGCTACCTTCTGTCCACTATAAACTGTTGCTCCTCTGTGATGCTTGTCTACCATGCCACCCTATCTTGAAGGCAGCTAATTATGGACTGAAACCTCTGCAAACTGTGAGTTAAATAAATCTTTCTCCCTTAACTTGTGGATGTTGGATATTTTGTCTCAGCCATGAGAAAAGTAATTCAGACAAAAACCATAATAGTTTTCATATTACCCATCAATTTTATTCCCATATATAAACAAGATATACAAATCTATGTTCACAAAAGCTTTATACATAAATGTTTGAAGCTTAGTATTTAATCAAAGCTAAAAGACAGGAAAAATCCACATATCTACCAATTAATAATCAAAAATGTATACCACTGAAGAAAAAATCATCCCTAAAAGTATGAGTTTTTCATAAATTCTCCAATATGGATTAATCTTGAAAATGTCACGCTAAAAAGAAAGACCAATGTTATACTACCCACTTAAACAAAATGGCCATAATATGAAAATGTATAAAGTGGAGAGTACATATGCAACTCCTAGAGGTTGGGTAAAGTGCAGAAATAAGAAAAGGAAGCAGAGTTTCTCAAGGAACTAAAGAAAATATTATAAAGGGACTTAAGTGGTGATTATGTATATTTTTAAATGAATGAATCAAATGGTAAGTACTTTATAGTTTAATAAAGTTGGCAAAAAGACAATACCTACTTGATAATAAATGCTCAAAGAATTTGAAGAGGTATTCACAGCACAATTAATATTAATCACGCCTGCCTGGCAAGTGCAAGGTCATGAGTTTGGTTCCCGGTACTGGAGAAAAACAAAAAAAACAAAACAAAACAAACAAAAAATATATATATATATATATATTAATCAACAAAAGGAAAAAAGCAGGGAAGGGAGAAATTGGGGAGAGGGAAATGAAAGAACAAGGGATAGAAGAGCAAGAAATAGAAGCAAGGAAGAATAAAAAAGGGGAAATGTAGCAAAAAAGGAAGGAAGGAAAAAGAAAAGGAAACAAGCAAGAAAAAAGGATAAGATGGTAGAGAATCAAAAGAGGAAGGAGAGTGGACAAAGGGATAGGAAGAAAGTAAGGAACATAGACACCAATAACTCTTCATTGCACCCAAAGCCACAAAACAGCTAGGTGAGAGTTTGATATGGGTGGCCTTCATCTTGTTCTTCTGATCCTTAGATTGTTGATCTTGTATAGAAGACATTTCAAAAAGTCTCCTTCCAGATTTTTCTGAATTTGTATTGGAAGCAAATGACAATGGAAGTCTGAGAATCTTGAATCTACCCCCATGAAGTAGACTGAACACGTGGCAAAGGCAATCTGCTGTTGCTCAGCTAAGGGAATCTTGAGATGGGAACCACAGTAAATACATGAGAGAGGACAATATGCATTAAACAGCTAATGAGACCACCCTTGTGGTGAGGAGGATTTCAAAATCTGCACAGGCCCACTTCATAAGAAGAAAGATGGCAGAGAAAATTCTCAAGTATAGTAGATTCACACAAGGCAATGAAGAAAACTACTAGTGTCACTAAAATTTACATACTTGAACACATCACAGAACAAATCCACAAGATAGGCACAGTCACAGGGTTTAATCAGCATATTTTAACAGAGGTGGGGAAATAAGGCAGTGTGCATAGCCTATAAACTTGAGAATAGCAAAAAGTGAAGAAAATGAACATCTCGTAAGCCCCAGCCAATTGGTCATATGCAATTTGCAACACACAAGAAAAGCCTATTCAGTACAATAAGAAGACAGCATGAAAAGGTCAGGAGCAAAGTACTCAGGCTAGGTTTGGTTAACATCCTGGCAGATGAAAGGAAAAATTTGAAACAGGATGAATTGCAACAGTAAAAACTATGGTGGAAAATAAATGTGCTGAGGACAAATCATCTTTTAATTGCAATATTGCATATGTGGCTAGAATAGCAGCATGCAACTGATTTGAAGACAACAATATGCAATATTACAACCACCGGTGAATTCCTACCATCTTGTTTAGTGAAACTCGGTATCGTCTCTAATGGTTTTTAATTATTTTTTATTCTCTTTAATGGTTTGATCAATCTTGCATTCTTGCATCAGGTAATCTGAGCAACTTTGCTGAAGATAACAATATGTAATATAACAACCACTGTTAATTCCTATCATTTTGTTTTGAGATCCTGTATCATTTTTAGTGTTCTCGCTTTGTTTTGTTTTTGTCTGTGATGTGGGTATTTTGCTATTGTTCTTTTTATTTTTTTACTATTCTCTTTAAAATAAAAATGATTAAATAAAGCAACATGCACTGTGCACATTTCTTTTTTTTTTGGTTTTTCTCCGTACCCATCTTGCAGTTGGGAGACAATCACCCACAACCCCTCAGCAAGTGAGAAAAGATCCCTTGGTTCATGTGAGAGCAGGTGTCATTTGGCTTTAGGTACTATTCATATTGCAAGGCTTCCCTTGTTTATAAAGTTAAAATTTATTAGAAATGATTGCCTTGCACAATACTCACACTGTAATGCTTTTACTTCAATCCGTAATCATGTTGGGTTTTATATATATATATATTATATATATTTTATTTGACTTACTTATATAGTTGACATTTTATTTGACTTACTTATATAGTTTTCACTATGTGAGAAATTTTCAGAAGGTTTTTATATATATATATCTTGTCAGAATACAGAAAACACAAAATTGCCTAGTCTGCAAGTTGTTTAAATCAGTTAAACTCTATGTAAACATGCACGCAGAATTTTCTTCAAATATGCTTTATAACTGTATAAAATACAGTTAAAAACTCTTGGTACAACAATGGAAAAATTGACAATCCACAGCAAACTTTTAAATGGAAACTAACATTGGGCATGGTGGCACATGGCTGTAATCCCAGCACTCAGAGGCTGAGGCAGGAGGATCGCTGCAATTTCGAGGCCAGCCTGGGCTACAAAGTGAGCTCAAGGCCAGCCTGAACTGCATAGTGAGAGTCTGTCTCAAAAAGACCAAAAAAAAAAAAAAAAAAGCTCACTAAATAGAAACTAATGGGAAGATGACAAGTAACAAAGACTTGCATTTAGGATCATATTACACCAAAGTATTCAAAACAAAACAAAACAAAGGTAACAAAAAATAATATACACTAGGAATATAGCTCAGTGGCACAAGCGTCTATCTGGCAAGCTCAAGGTCCTGAGTTTGATTCCTGGTACCAAAAAATAATCTACAAAAATATTGAGCCTACTGAAAAAAAAAGAAACACAATTAAATTCTCCTGTGGGTCTAACCTGTTGCAAAATAAATAACTTATCAAATAATTTGATTAAAAGACAGTATTAAACTTCCATATGATTGCTAACAAGAACATGAAGAATTATGTGAGCACAACATTCCTCCTTAGATGTAAACTTACATATATTTAATCCAAGGATCTAATTTAAGAGTGTACTATTTATATTTAAGATAGTTCACCTAGTTGTGTGTTTTCTGGAGAAATAATTGACATTTTATTTGACTTACTTATATAATTTTCACTATGTGAGAAATTTTCAGAAGGTTTTTAAAACCAACAGCGATAACTGACAATATATATTCATGGGGATTTAATCAATATGCATTGTTACATGAAGGACAACTCAAGACTTGTGTACAACTTTTATTCATTCTTTTCTGACAATACTGTTTATTTATGAGTAACATCAAAGTGGTTACAGAGGTTCCCACAAAATATACATTGACACAAGATTCTCCACTATGCAAGGCCACCTTTCCATGCAAAAAGATTTCTCAGTCTATAATGTGTCCTAATCCTGAGTTTCTGTATGTGTTGAGGTGATATGAATCACAAATTTCTCACCGTAACTATGTATTTCAAGGCAAATAAAAGAATTGAGCTCCCACATTTGATTACTTACATATGGCTTTGCTCTCATGTGAATTCTAGAATGCACCGAGATAAATAAGACATTTCTGGAGCTGGGAATTTAGCTCAGCCACAGAGCTCCTGCCTGGCAAGCGCAAGGTCATAAGTTCGATTCCCCGTACTGGGAAAAAACAAAAAACAAACAAACAAAAAAAACAAAAAAAGACATTTCCCTCATTGCTCACATATGTTCAGATTCTGGTTCACTATGAATTCTTTCATGTATGTAATTATACAAGTATATATTGAATTTTTTTTTTTTTACATTCCTTACAGAAAAAGGTCTTCCTTCTATAGGTGCTTTCATGTTAATGCAGGGCATTTTATATATTCACCACTAATGTCCTTTCTTACTTTTTAAATGTCTATGATGCTTACTGGAATAACTGAAGTTTTCTACACATTGCTTAGTGTAACGTGATTGCTACACATTGTTCAGTGTAATTGTTTTATGTAATTGATGACATCACTGTGTAAAGAATGAAATCCAACAATGCTTATGTAAATAGAATTTCTCATCAGTGTAAGTTGTCACATATTTCACAATTACTATGTGTTGAAACTTTTCCCATATCACTTGCACACATACTATTTCTCAGCAATATGAGTTCTTCCATGATTTTGACAATCATTCTGGATGGGGAAAGTTGTATCACATAAGCTGCCTACATAGGGTTTCTCTACCTTGTGAGTCTTTTCATGTCTTTGACAATTACCTTTTCTGATGAATGCTTTCCCACAATGCTTACACACGTAGGGTTTCTCTCCAGTGTGAACTCTTACATGTATTTGCAAATGACAATGTCTGTAGAAAGCTTTCCCACACTGATCACATACATAGTGTTTTTCCCCTGTGTGAATTCGTTCATGAGTTTGACAATTACTTTGTGCACTGAAAGCTCTCCCACAATGCTTACACATGTAGGGTTTCTCCCCAGTGTGAATTCTTTCATGTATTTTACAATGACTGTATGCACTAAATGCTTTCCCACATTGCTTACATACATAGGGTTTTTCCCCAGTATGAGTCCTTCCATGTGTTTTGCATTGACTGTATGTGCCAAACGTTTTCCCACATTGTGTACATACATATGGCTTCTCCCCAGTGTGCGTTCTTTCATGTCTTTTGCAGTGACTGTGTGTGCCAAAAGCTTTCCCACATTGTGTACATACATATGGCTTCTCCCCAGTGTGAATTCTTTCATGTATTTGACAATTACCACGTGTGGTAAATCCTTTCCCACATTGCTTACACACATGAGGTTTTTCTCCAGTGTGAATTCTTTCATGTATTTGACAAGATCTTTCTATACTAAATGACTTCCCACATTGCTTACATACATAGGGTTTCTCCCCAGTGTGAATTCTTTCATGATTTTGACAACTACATCGTGTGCCAAAAGCTTTCCCACAGTGTTTACACATATAGCATTTCTCCATAGTGTGAATTCTTTCATGACTTTGACAATTAAAGTGTGTGCTGAAAGCTTTCCCACAATGCTTACACACATAGGGTTTTTCCCCAGTGTGAATTCTTTCATGACTCTGACAATTAAATTTTGCGCTAAAGGCTTTTCCACAGTGCTTACATACATAGTGTTTCTCTGCAGTATGAGTGCTTTCATGTCTTTTACAACTACTTTTTCTGGTGAATGCTTTCTCACATTGCTTGCATACATAGGGCTTCTCCCCAGTGTGAGTTTTTATGTGTACTTGAAGATGATTGTGTCTGCTGAAACTCTTCCCACATTGATCACATGCATAGGGTTTCTCCCCAGTGTGAGTTTTCTCATGATTTTCACAATTAAATTGTGTGACAAAACCTTTCCCACACTGTGTACATACATAGGGTTTCTCCCCAGTGTGAGTTTTCTCATGATTTTGACAACTAAATTGTGTGCGAAAAGCTTTCCCACACTGCTTACATACATAGGGTTTCACTCCAGAGTGAGTCCTTTCATGTCTTCTACAATTACTCTGTTTGCTGAAAGCTTTCCCACATTGCTTGCATAGATAGGGCTTCTCCTCAGTTTCTCCTCTTTCAAGTTTATAAAATGAAGAGTTATTAGTTAAGGATTTTTCACTGCACATATATACATATTGTTCTTCTCCAGTGTGAGCTCTTTCATGTATCTGAATATCATGGTGAGAATTAAAACCTATTCCACTTTGTATACATCCATGTATAACCACTCCGCTGTGATGGCCTTCTCGGACTTGAACACAGTTTACTGTACTAAAGGCTTTCATATCCTGCTTATATTCAAAGGACATCCCTTCTGTGTTAGTTCCTTCAGTGCAATCAGAGTAGAATTTTCCACACTGCTTATATTCATAGGCTTTCCCTCCAGAAGTTGTTTCACCATGCTTCTGAAAGGACTGGAATTCAGTACAGGCCTCCCCACGTTTGCTACAATTAGACAGCCTTTCCTGAAATTCCTGAGATTCACATTCTTTGAGTTCAGTGTTAGCTATTATGGACACATTTGCTGATGAGTGACCAAGCAGTGGCTTTCTACAGGCAAGGACTTCACCTGAGTTTGTACTGACTGCCTCCATGTACACATTATCATCTGAGGACAAAGAAACTATTTCTTCATACTGATACTGTAATTCATATTGATGCCATTTTTCTACCTCTTCACTTCTGCAAAAGAAACAAATAGGACAACTATCAATCACATTTGAAAGTGTCTTTATATTAATGATTAACCAGGTGATCTGGTGTGCTGCCCCCTAAGAATATGGAATCATGAGTTTACTGTACACTTTGGATGATGCTTTGGAAACTGCTTTTATCAAAACAGTAGTATTCATTCAAATATTTATACTTAACATGTTTGCAATATATAACACTTTTATTTTGAGGAATTAATATATATACCAATATTACATATAATTAAGACATTATATGTAATTTTTATATTATATTTACATAATATATAATTTATTATGTATTTCCTCTTTGATTCTACACCCTCCCTCCATTGAAAACCTTCACCTACTTCCTGTTGTCTTTCTTCCTAATGCCTCTCTCTTCTCTGCTATTTCTCCATTTTACTCTTTAATTATATTTTGGGTTTTTCATGCAAAATATAACATGTGATGCTGAAATTTCTGTGCTTACTCATTTAAATTAATATTATATTATTAATTTTAATAATATCCATTTAGGGCCGGGGATATAGCTCAGTGGCACAAGTGATTGCCTGGCAAGCGCAAGGTCCTAAATTCAATTCCCAGTACCTACCCCCTAAAAAATTCATCTATTCTTTTGGCAAATGTCATCATTTTATTCTTCTTTATGTGCAAATACTATTCCATTTCATACACATACCACATTGTTTTCAGTGCTAGAGAATGAATCCAGAGAATTAGCACTGAGATACACCCCCAGATTATATAATTTCATTTTGAGAGAATCTCAACAATCATTTAGCTGCCTGGGCTGAGCATGAATGAATGAATCTTACTGTCTCAGTTTCCCAGAGTGCTATGACTGCAAGCATGCATCATCATACCCAGACTATTCAATATTTCCTTAATGTACACATTTGTGAATTGACTTCTAGACTTTTTCCAGATCATTACTGCTACAAACACGGGTATATATGTATCACTGTAAATGACTACTTAATTTTGTGGAGAATGTACCCGGGAGAAATATACATGCTAGAATGAAATTTGTATTTTTACATTTTTAAGGATACTCTACATGCATTTCCATAGCTGTTATACTAAAATGCCATTAACATCAACAATATAGGAAGGGGGATTCTAATATTTTGAAACTTGAATTGACTAAATACTTGTAGGACTGTTTAAAAGCAGCTACTACCATAACAGGGCATTCATTTGGATTTTGAATATTTCCACAGGGTTAGCAATTTGCAAACACTGAAAGTGTGTGTATAGCATATTTTAAAACATATAGCATTCCTTACATAATTTGTTTCATATGAAAGTGATCTTTAAAACATACATGTATATATAATTAGATATTCTGAATGTAACTTCCAGTCTAAACACAAAATGTTTCATACACACCCTTAATCTATGCTAAACACAATTTTATACACATTTTCATCTTGAACACAGAAAATCATTTGCTTATTCTGATACAGTACATAATGTCACTTGTGGTATAATGCCAATACTTCCTAACTTTCAGACACTGGAATATTTTGAATGTTCAATTGTTGGGTTACAGATACCCACCACGTATCTGTCTTTGGAGTAACTTTGTGAGATTCCAGAAACATGAACATAGCCACACTTGTCCTATATGCTTACTTTTAATAATTCTGCTCACACCTTGACATGTGAGGAACAATTTTATGGGAGTGTAAATTACCTTAGATTAATGCTGCAACTTTTGTACTCATCCTCAATTTTCTGGTTATCCCAATTTCTTTCTAAAGTATAGAAACAGAAATGTAATGATGAGTTACTAGGTTACATAAAAATTAATAGATTACAGTAAAATTCCTTGGTACAATGTGTCCATGCCTGAAAGATTCTTAAAATGTTTCCATTTTTCTTTTTTTTTTTTTTTTTTTTTTTTTTTT